GGTGAGAGAAAATAGGAGGGGGGTGAGAAAGAAAGGGGGGGTGGGTGAGAAAGAAAGGAGGGGGGGTGAGAGAGAAATAAGGGGGGGTGATAAAGAGAAATAAGGGGGTGGGTGAGAAAGAGAAAAGGGGGGGTGGGTGAGAAAGAAAAAGAAGGTGGGTGAGAAAGAGAAATTGGGAGGAGGAGAAGGAAATTGGAGCGGGAGGAGAGATTGACATTCATCACATACACACAATGCACCCCTTGCACACAGAAAAACACACAGACACACATACACAAGCAATGCAACCGTTACACACAATGCATCCCTTACACACACAGAAACACACAATGCATTCATTACACACACTCAATGCACCCCCTACACACATTCAATGCATCCCATACATACACAGAAACACACCTTGCAGTCCTTACACATACAAACACAATTTCACACAATGCATTCCTTACACACATATCAGGGCATCCCCTACACACTCCACCCCCTGTGAACAAACTCATTGGTGGAACATGAAGGTGGACCCTGGGACCCAGACCTTGAGCTGTGTAAAGGACCCCCCAAAAAATGGAGCTGCTTCCCGTTCTCCCAGAACATTGATTTTTGTGACCACAGTTACAAACTGCCTCCAGAGAGCCTGTTCTGCACCAGACCAGTGGAGCCAGACTGCAGCTAGAGCCCATCATCATCCTCATCTGGTTGTGAGTAGGCAATCTAGTATATTATTCGTGGCACTAAGCTCTAATTTACCTCACATTAAAGAAACACTATAGTCCCCAGAACCACTTCAGCTTAATGTAGTGGTTCTGGTGTCTATAGCCTGTCTCTGCAGGCCTTTTAATGTAAACACGGCGGCACTGCAGCACTGGCGTTAGTTAACATGGCAAATCATATGGTTGGGGCATTGTGATGTCACATGGGGGGCGGCAAACTTTACTTTTGCCTAGGGCGGCAAAAATCCTTGTACCGGCCCTGGCTGGAGGGGGCTGTGTGAGCTGTGGCCTCACAGTGTCCCATGGTAGTTAGGGTGCCGTGCCAGTACAGCTTACTCAAGCAAACAGCTGATAAACTGGCCGCACGGAGGAAATGTGTATGTGTGACTGTCTGTCTGTAACTGAGTGTGTGACTGTCTGTCTGTAACTGAGTGTGTGACTGTCTGCCTGTAAATGTGTGTGTGTAGGGCTGCAGGGATTTTGTAGAAGGGGGTGGGGGTTTTGTATTGGGACAGGAGTCTTTATAAGGGGGGATAAGCAGGGGATTTGTGGAAGGGGGTTGCGGGGGTTTTGTAGATGGGGCAGTACAGGATTTGTAGAAGGGGCAGGACAGAGGTTTTGTAGGAGGGGCAGGGCAGGACAAGGGTTTTGTAGGAGGGGCTGACAGCGGTTTTGCAAAGTTTACAAATTGTAAAAATAAAAGAAATAAAACCTATAATATTGTTTACAGGTTTGTTTGTTTTTTGGGGGAGGGGGGTGGGGGGGGGGGTGCCAAGCACAGGATCCGCCCCGGGTGCCAAATGCTCTAGGTACGCCCCTGAAATGATGCTCAATGTCCTGACACTGTGCACGAGGACATCCATCCAGTGTCTTCTAAATCCCTATATTAAATCACTGCATTTTCATATGAGGCAGGCCTAGTGCACGCACGGCATTTGCTGTGCATGTGCATTAGGTTCCCCCCATCGGCAGACGTCGGCAGAGGAGGAGGGACATTGGCACTGGGATCAGGCGATTGTTTAAAGCATTATTTAACTCTTTACATTAATGGGGAAGGGAGGGCATGGGGGCGCAGGGACACCTTAGTATTAGGGATACATCTTTGTGTTTTTATCACCAACGTGTTCCTTTAAATGTGTGCTTACGTTGTTAGTGTTAGAGCTATTGCACTTATAGTCCTGTTAATTTATGTTCACCATTTATTACTTTCACCATTCTGATCTCTCATTCCCGTATACAGCATCTTGCAATCACACATGTTTTTCCTCTGCTTTCTGCTTATCAAGTTCACCAGAATTGATAAAGTGTTATAAAACATGACACACATAGATTACCAAGATATGTCCTGTGGAAGTTAGCTTTCCTTCTTTTAAGGTTAGCCAGAGAGAGAGGAAGTGTTAGCAGACCCAGGGATGGATGCAGGATGTGTGGTTTTGACAGGGCCGTCACCATAAATTTGGGGGCCCGCCTCCAAATCCCGCCCACAGGAATACATACAGACACAAAAACACACACTGATACAAAAGGACACATATACACACAGATACTAACAGACACACATACTGAAACAGACATTCACGCATATATACATACTGACAGACACATACTGAGACATACACATATATACAGACACACAGGCATACATAGTGACAGACACATACTAACATACATACAGACACATACATACACCGACATACATTCATACAGACAGACATACAGACGCTGACATCCATACACACACACACATACATACATTCATACTGACGTACATGCATACATACAGACATACATTCATACATACTGACATCCATTCACGCATACACACAGACATACGTTCATAATGACATGCAGACATACATTCATACTGATGTACATGCATACATAAAGACATACATTCATATATACATACATACATAATGACAGGGGTCCTCAAACTTTTTAAACAGGGGGCCAGTTCACGGTCCCTCAGACACTGTTGGGGGCCAGACAATAAACAATATGAACGAATTCCTATGCACACTGCACACACACGCATAAGGACATAAATATACACACACACACACACACACACACACAAACAGACAGACACAAACATATACATACATATTGAAATACACACAAACAGACATGTATACATACACATACTGACTTACTCACACAGACTTGCATACTTACATACATACATATACTGACTTACACACACAGACATACATACTGACACACATTACATGTATACATACTGACATACATACATACATACTGACAGACATACATACATATTAACATACATACATATTGACATACATACATACTGACATACATACATATTAACATACATGCATACTGACATACGTACATACATACGTACATACATATTAACATACAGACATACATGCATATTAACATACAGAAATACTGACATACATATTAACATACAGCTAATTTTTCTTACCTTTTTTGCAGGTGGAAGGCTGTGGCTGATAGGAGTTAGCGTGGCTCCCGCGGCCTGGCTTTCTTCCCTCCCGCGAGGCACGGAGTGGAGGGGAGGAGAGGGAGCTGGGAGGAAGTGACGGCCACTTCCTCCCAGCAGTACTTTGCGGCTGAGATTTTTTTAAAGGGGCCCGGTCACGCAATTGCACGGCCGCAGTGCTGACAGGGCCCCTGAAGACACAGGGACACAGGGCCCATCGGGTGGCCCTAAGTGCATGGGCCACCCGATGGGCCCCAACAGCGTGCGGGCCCTGGTGCAATTGCACCGGCGGCAGTTTTGCTGCTCCACGTGGGGCCCGGGCAGCCGGGCCCCCCAGGGCCGCCGGGCCCGTGACAACCGTCATGGTTGTCACCCCCTGATGGCAGCCCTGGGTTTTGATGTACATTGAGTCTAAAGTACTGGTCTTAGGAGGGGGTATTGAAGGACCATGTTAACATGGGCATTTCTTAGTTCAAAAGGCCAGAATAGACTCTGAGGTGTTAAATCTCTAAACCTACTTGTTCAGTTGTAGCTTTCTGTGCAAAGGCACATGTGCTAGAGAGAATTTGTATCTTGTAAATTTAACAAGAAACAATATGAGGAGATAGCTCATGTTCCATTTCCAATGCATAAAAAAATCTTGCTTTTATTGCCATGTCAGACTTTGCTTGCTAAAGTCTCACTGTGATCAGTCCCTTTGCATGATCAAGAAACTCGTTGCCAAACCTGTTGCTTATTCAGTTACACTAACAAAGTCTTGTAGCCAAAGCCATATGCAGAGGTAGCACTTCTGAAGATCAACTCCTACCTACCCCAGGGTACTCATTACCTTAGTAGATAGTACCAATTACCTGTTCTTGCAAGCCTGCCAGTTATGTATCACAACTTCTCACCTGCTCAAATCCCACACTGCATGCCTTTTAACCCTTTACCCCTCCACTCGTTTCAGTTCCATCTCATCTCTTTAACTGTAATCCAAACTACCCATTCTCCTAATAAGGTTATCCCTTCCATTTTTCACCTTTACCTTCACTTCTCATAAAATCTCTCTATCTTCTTTCCTGTCCTGCTGACACAATCTTTACTCCCCTCTCTATTCATCTCATGCTCTATTCTCGTACATAACCACCCTTTCTTCACCACCTCCTTCTAAAGCATGGCTGCCCATCAGGTAGATCCCCAGATGTTGTAGAACTAAAAGTCCCGTGATGCTTTGCATGCCTTTAGAATGACAAACCATCATGGGAGTTGCAGTTCTACAACATCTGGGGATCTACCTGTTGGGCAGCCCTGTTCTAAAGTCTCCA